CTCTTTCGAAAGATGCTTTCGAAAGAGCCTCTTTCGAAAGAAGCCTGCAGTCTAGACATAGCCTTTATGTGCTATCATTTAAAATTTAGATAAAGTGATTACGTGGTGCTTAATAGTGCGTGGTTCCTTATCAAAAGGGTTGGTGCAGGGAAAAGTCCTGCATGACATACGCAGGCAAAATTTGACTGCCAAATCAAAAAGAATTTCTTGGAGCCAGTCTAAAGACATACCAATAAAATACCACATACATGGAATCAATGTTTTGTGGAGCACTTAAATGCTGTAAGCTTTGCTAACAAATATGATAACTCAGTAGGCAGTTGCTAATATTTTGTATTTCAGTAGCACCAAGAGTCCTAGACAAAATTCGGGATAGGCACAATACAAACAATGACGTTTGCAGGATAGTTTGCGTTTAAGAAAATAAGTCAGATTCAGCAAAGTATTTAAACTTTCTGAAGTTAGAGTTAGTAGGCATGTACTCATTCATTTGTTTAAGTGCTTTTCTAAGGCTGTGTCTACACTTCGGGTATTTTTGGAAAAAGATACGGTTTTCAATTTGCGTTCCTTTTTCCATTTGTTTTTTCGAAGGGGCTTTTCTAACATTTGGCCCATCTACAAGGGGCCAAATGTTGGAAAAACCTCTTTCAGAAGATCCCTTATTTCTCAAAATGAGGAATACAGGGATGCCAAAAGAATGTGCCTACTTTTTCAGAAATTGTTCTGAAAAATCGGTCACGTTCCCTGGATGCGGCAGAGTTTTTAGGTATCCCAGAAAAACTCTGCAGTCTAAACATAGCCTGAATCAGGACCTATGTTCTTCCAGCAAAGCCATGGGAGTTTTGGTGTGCAAATAATTGAGGATCAATCCCTAGAACAGTATGCTAAAAGACTTCAGAAATTATCACTAAAACCAGCTTTTCCACATAAAAAAGGAAAAAAGATCATAGTTTCTCATCTACTTTCTATATTTTATGATGGCCAAATACATAGAATGTTGTGAAGCTGTTGAAATGTGGTGAAGCTCTTTAGTTATGAACTTTGTACATGTAAATATGAGTATTAAAGTTCATATTTAAAATTGATAACCAACACATAAAAATTTAGTCCTTGACTTGTATGATATCTTTAAAGTAATTATAACAGGACAAATGCAACATATGTATTAAAGTTCAGATTTAAAAAGATAGTACTTGACTTGTGAATATTTTTAAAATAGCTTCAACAATACAATACAGACTTTTTTGTTTTCTTTTATCTTTGTAGATTTGAAAGAATTGTTTTCTTGTATTTGTTTATTTGAAGCTCTGAGCATCTTGTCTGATGTGAGCTTTGTTAATGCAATTAATATTTTCCAAAATGGAATTTTTATTTACTAACAAATATTTATATTATTTTCCTTTCACTTGTTTTGATAACTAAAATAAGAGACAGTGCTATCTTTTTTTTAAAAAATGCAGACACTGAACGCACACATAACAAGTGGTTTCTATATCTTGTGCCTACCTGCAAGGTGAATTTCAATCCTGTAAAGTAGTATGGGCAGCCGTGTTCCCGGTAAGCTGTGCGCTTGTGTGGCCTCTCAGGAGAGATTCAGATACCACCCAGCTGATTAGTAGAGTGCCCACAGCCAGGTTTTTTATTTCTATTGGTGGTGCACATTCACACATGCCTTGGAGCACATAAAATTGATTCTGTGCATGGATGAAAAAGATTAGAGAGAACATTTATGGGCACCTATAGGTATTTTTAGGAATTTAAATAAATCTACCAGAAATTAATATCCCCCCGCATTAAGTGCTAGGATCAGCAAGGTGTGGTATACTTGTTATGAAGAAACTCACTGAGCCAAATCCCAAATGCCTTATAATACTTTGCTATTTGGGCACCATATATGACACACATTGACTCAACATTTAATCCACTGGTACTCAGAGGCTGTGTCTACATTGGCACCCTTTTCTGGAAAAGGGATGCTAATGAGACAAGTCGGAATTGTAAATGCCGTGGGGGATTTAAATATCTCCCGCGGCATTTGCATGAACGTGACTGCTGCTTTTTTCCGGCTCGGGGCTTTGCCGGAGAAAAGCGCCAGTCTAGATGGGATCTTTCAGAAAATAAAGCCTTTTCCGGAAGATCCCTAATTCCTGATTTTAAGAGGAATAAGGGATTTTCTGGAAAAGGCTTTATTTTCCGAAAGATCCCGTCTAGACTGGCGCTTTTCTCCGGCAATGCCCTGAGCTGGAAAAAGCGGCAGGCATGTTCATGCAAATGCCGCGGGGGATATTTAAATCCCCCGCAGCATTTGCAATTCCGACTTGTCTCATTAGCATCCCTTTTCCGGAAAAGGGTGCAATGTAGACACAGTCAGAGTGTTATATTTTAATAATTATTGAAGATGCTGGCTGTTTTTTATAACTGCAGTTAGCCTTGTATTTTATTTGAAGGTGATATTTAGTCATAAATATCTGGTCATGAAATGTTTGCAGCCATAAATGTGCCATATGTTCTCCTTACTATATTTGCAGAGTGAAAATTATTGTAGCACCCTTCAAAATTAAAATATATATTGAGATTGGTTTATAAGGAATTATGTAAGATAAGATGAGAGACATTGTGCCTGACAACAATGCCTCCTAGCTCCCTGGCTCTCCTGAGAAAGAAAGCTGCTGCAGTAGCACCTCTTAAAAGCATGCAAGACTAGAAGAGATTCCTCATACCTTTCCTCCCCTTTCCCTTTTGTGCACCCACTTAAGGGCCATGCATAATCTGGTTCTTGTTTATAAGCAGGGCTTGCCAAGTGGTGGCGAGCCTTGCTCGCCAGCCGCGCACTACAGTGCGCTGTGCGTGTGCAGACTGTTCTGTTCAGCCACACCAGGCTAAAAATCTACTTGCCACAGGTGAGTAGATTATGTTAATTGTCGAGCCCTGTTTATAAGGATGACTGGGTTGCTGGGAGAAGAAAAATTTGACAAATTTTTGGAAATTGAATTGTATGGAAATTCTCAGTAACCATTGCAAAATATAATAGTAAGATTGGTTTGAAAATGGAAAATCACAGAAGGATTTCTGGGTTTTGCCCAAATTTTCTTTGATAATTTTCCAGCCACCTCTAATAGCAAAGTGGATAATTTAATGAACTGAGTCTGGAAGCACACCATATGTCCTGAAAATTAATTATTAGTGATTAAATACAATTTTATTTTTAGAGACCAAAGAGAAAGTCGGATGGCTTCTCCACAAACTGATCTTAAGGAAGATAGGAGTGTGCATGGTAGCGAGAGTGACAGTAGTGTTGATGAAGAGAGCGAGGCTACTGACAGTAGTCTGGAACATTATTCTTCCCTAGTTGAAGAAGAAGAGGACAAAGAAAAAGAAGTTGAAGATGATAACCACCATGACTTTTCAGATGCATTGAGTGTTGAAGAGTCACAACAATTTTCTAAAGCTGATAAAGAAGATTCCAGCATACTCAGAGAAAGACCCGATTCCCCAAATCCTGGTGAGATATTAGCACCTTATGCTAATGTTTAGTGTTCTTTTGTACATGGATCCCATGTAACTTAGTAAATCCATATGTTTATTTTAGAACAAAGAGAATGTCTTGGATTTCTGAAGAAATTGTCTGTCTTCATATGGAAATCCCTGTCACAAGCTAAGTAAGTACAGTGAGCTTCAATGAAATATATGAAAATAATTAGCAAAAAGTTCTCATTAAATCTAGTAGCATTGTTAGCATAATATACTATGACCATCCACTATTCTTCCAGGTTAATAGAAAACCAGAAGATCATGGGGAATCAAATTCATTCTTTGGTGGGGGCCGAATTCCACTTTTAACTATGACCAGAGGGTTGGGCATTTAGGAGTGCATATTCCCCTCAGTCCACAGTAGAATGCCCACTGACACCAATGGGAGAGTTACACAAAGATCTTAGCAGGGTTCCCCATTCTTGTCAGTCCTGGCCAACATCTTCAGCTTTTATCCAACATCTTTTTACCAGTTCTTATCTCTGTTAGCACATGTTTTTTCCTGGGTTTCCTGTTGCTCACTCCCAGTAGCTCTTGCCAGCTCACCACTGCTGCAGTCAGTCAGTCAGTCTCTTGCTCTCGCTCTCGCGCTCTCCTATTCTTTTCAGGTATCTCTCATCTGCCTGTCCTGTCTCTTTCAGACAGCATTCCTCCTCTGCTTTCCTAGCTCTATATATAGTCCAGATGCCTTTTCTTAAGTCCAGTTCTGGGGCAGCTGACTAGTCATAGTTGTGCTCATCTTGATCCCTCTTTAGGCCAGTCAGCTTGTGACAAAGTTCCTACTGGGATTTTCAGAAATACATATGTGCCATCTACCCTTCATTTCCCTGTGATCTTAGTGGGAAGACTGGCCTCAAGTCTTGTCTCTGGGGGTATGTCTACACAACAGGGCAAAAGTCCAATTAATCTATGCAACTTCAACTACATCAATTACATAGCTGAAGTCGAAATAGCTTAATTCGGCTTTTGGCACTGTTTACAGAGCAGGAAGTCAAAGAAAGAACACTCTTCCTTTGACTCCACTTACTCCTCATAAAATGAGGGTTACAGGAGTCAGAGTAAGAAGTCCTGCACTTCAACATTATTTCAAAATAACGGCTTGCTGTGTAGACACATTTTGTTATTTTGAAATGTCAGTTATTCCAAAATAATGATGCTGTGTAGATATACCCTGGCTAGGCTAAGACAAATCTAATAAATTTCCTGACATAGTAGCCTTTATATTAAGGGTAGGCTGAAGAGAGAATCCCCCTAATTGTTGGTTTGCTGAAGGTGACCCACCACAACAGGAATCCTTCTTGCTTGTAGGGTAAACTGACACTTCTTGGGCTGAGGAAATAGTCAATATATTTTCATTCAATTTAAAATTTTTCCCTATTTGAAAGAAATAAAAAAAACCTGTCCTTTTAAGATGTTAAAAGCTCTCTGAAGTCATCAGCACGAAAATAATTGTTATGACGACTTGGGTTTCAGGCAAGAAAGTGCCCAAAATGTATTCTCTTGTCACCTCCAATAGGGTACGTCTCCAGAATCAAGAACAGCTTCTGTACCAACAGACATGAATAATAGCAGCCGAGACACCTGAATTGGGCTAGATAGCATCCACAGTGTTGGAGAAAGAACATTTCCAGTACCTTGTACAGATAAATTATAGAATCATAAAAGATCAGAGTTGGAAAAGACCTCAGGAGGTCATCTAGTCCCACTCTCCACTCAAAAAACAACCAACCCCGAGTAAATCATTCCAGCCAGGCCTTTGTAAGACAGATCTTAAAAATCTCTAAGGATAGAGATTTCAGCACCTCCCTAGAAAATCCATTTCAGTGCTTCACCACCTTCCTAGTGAATTCATTTTTCCTAGTATTCAATCTAGGTCTCCCCCCCACTATAACTCAAGACCACTGGTTCTTGTTCAGTCATCTGTCACCACTGAGAACAGCCTAGCTCCATCTTCTGTGAAACCCCCATTCAGGTAGTTGAAGGTTGCTATCTAATCCCCCCTCACCCTTCTCTTCTGTAGACTAAATAAACCCAGTTCCCTCAGCCTCTCCTCATAAGTCATGCTCCTCTGCTCCCTAATAATTTGTTGCCCTCCACTGGCTCTCTCCTATATGTCCACATCCTTTCCTTAATGGGGAGTCCAAAACTGTTATGCAGTACTCCAGGTGTGGCCTCACCAATGCTGAATAGAGGGGAATAATCACTTCCTCAATCTTCTGGCAATGTTTATGCAGCCCAATATGCTGTTAACCTTTTTGGCAACAAGGGAACACTGACTCATATCCAGCTTCTCATCCACTGTAACCCACAGGTCTTTTTCTGCCGAACTGCCCTTAGCTAGTCAGTCCCCAGCCTGTAGCAGTGGATGGTATTCTTATGTCCTAAGTGCTTGATTCTGTATTTGTCCTTGTTGAACCTCGCCACATTTCTTTTGGCCCAATCCTACAATTTGTCTAGGTCACGCTGTACCCTATCCCTACCATCTATTGTATCAATTTCTCCTCAGCTTAGTGTTATCCACAAACTTGCTGAGGGTGCAATCCATCTTTTCATCCAGACCATTAACAAAGATGTTGAACAAAACGAGCTCCAGGCCAACCCCCTGCAGTGCTCCACTTGATACCAAAGAGGAATGCTAGAAGCTTTTGACTGACTTCAGAGCCAAGGAAGAGGACTTCTGAATAATAATACTCAATATAGCATACTGGCAGTCCCCGGGTTACGTACAAGATAGGGACTGTAGGTTTGTTCTTAAGTTGAATCTGTATGTAAGTCGGAACTGGCGTCCAGATTCAGCCGCTGCTGAAACTGATCAGTTTGTGACAGCCCAGACTGGGCTGTCAGCTGGCCGCGTGTTCCGCCGCTTTGCTCTGCTCTGCTCTGCTCCCCGTTCCTAGTCTGCAGACCACGTGTTCCGCTGCTTTGCTCTGCAGACCAGGGGGACGGGGAGCAGAGCAGAGCATCTGGGCTGTCCGCTGCCCGGGTGTTCCGCCGCTTTGCTTCCTCTCCCTGGTCTGCTGGAGACCAGGGAGAGGGAGGGTCCCGTTCATAACTGCGGATCCGCGTAACTCTGGGACTGCCTGTATTTTAAAACAAGTATTCTAGTGAATTAAATCTTTTAGCAATCAAATGTTTTCCTCCTCCCATTTCAACATGTGCAAGATTATGCTTATACTTTTTGTTCATTCAGGTATGTCAGTTTACTAAATGACTTTGTGGAGTCTGAATTTTTTGTGATTGATGGAGATGCTCTACTTCTCAAATATTTATGCAAGAAAAGACAATACCTGCCCTTCTTTTACTTAATTGAATGCTTTCTGCTTGATTTCACCCAAAAAGGAGCAAAATATGTGATTGTCTTTTTCAAGGTACTGTAACATCATCTCTTATTGGCCTACTGTTTAAACCATTGCACTCTTAAATGGAATTGTTTGATAAGGAAAGACATTTCACTAGATTTAAAAGAACACAATCTATGGTAATTATAAACTCCATCTTGCTCTACTACACCTAATCAATATGTACCTCCATAAGGACTTCACATTTCCCAGGCTGAAGACTAACTCAAGAACAGTTGATACATTATCCCAGGACTGTTGAGGAGGCAAACAGTGAACAGTCCTGGAAGATTCAAATTGTTCCCTCACATCAGCCCCAGGCTTCTGTCTGTAGTTGATAACCTGTGGGAAAAAGTCTCTTGGCAGTTGTTCCTGATCTCCGTTGAGCCTTCCCTTTGCATCCATGTTAGGGTCTGTGTGGCTCTTAAAAGATGCAGGAAGTTTGGGAATAGGCCCTGTGGCCTGTTTCCTTACATTGAATAAAGCATGCTACTCCTGATGGAATGATTAGGAAACAAATGGACATAATGAAATCCTTCCAGATATTTCCTTTTCTCTGAATGAAGTTTTAGTTTGTACTGACTTCATTAGTGCTTTATGTCAATGAATCAGTATACTCCCTGGAGCCCTCTGCGTAACTTCAACACCTCTGGTTGAGAACCACTGCTGTAGAGAGATTTTTGCAGCTTCCTATTTAGGGTAGAGGAAAAAAGTGATAGTGTCTTCTTTATTTTTACTATTGAAATGGTTATGCATTTCTATTGGAACTATAGTAATTATGGGTGGAGCTGGTAGCATCGCCAGTGTTTAAGGATAACTGGCACTTCCCATTATAATACCCTATTTTCAAGGGGATAAAATAGTACCCTATTTTCAAGGGGATAAAATAGTACATAAACACGTGATTAAAGACTATCATAATGCACATACAAAAAGGAGCCAAAATAATTTGCACAGGCAACCTTTATTCTGGCATATACTAACTTTTAATTTTGCAATCTTACTGTTCTTTTAGCACATTTAATACAATGGTGTGAAGGGGCTCACCTTCTTGTGAACACCCTTTTGTGGCCAAGGACTTGTCCGAAATTCCTCTGCCTGGCTGTTCGCTGGGGTGGAAGTGTCCCAGAGGGCTTTCTGGTCCATTGCATGGACCAGGCTTCTTTTACCCCCTGTTGTGGTTGCAGGGGAGTTGAAGGGGGTGGGGGGAAGAGGCAAGCCCACTCTCTCTTCTGGGTCCCAGCCCAGGGACCCTGTAAGTGGCAGTTACCTGCTGAATATCAATGGAACCTGTTATGGTCACGTTCCCCGGGCCACTTCCCCAGGAAGCTGCTCTATCCAGCTCTCTTGGGCTTTGCGGTCAAGTTCTCTCTGGACCCCCTCCAGGGTTCTGTAAGGTGTTGCTATCAATTATCAGCTAGTCTTCAGCCACTGGACCTGGGTTCTGCCCAGGTCTGAAGTCCAGCTCCCATTCAAAGCTATCCAAAGTGCCATTGTCTGCCTGGGTTGAGCTCCAGCAAGGAACTACAAGGCCCTGGCCCAGCAGCTTCTTTTATATCCACTTGCTGGGCCCTGATTGAGTGCCAGAGAAGCAGCCACTCTGGTCTACTTGGAAGATGTCTTTTCTGCTCTTCTCCCTGAGGTATGGGCGGCAAGGCCTCCAGCAGGGGCTGTTGGGCCTAGTCCACTCAGTCACAAATGACTATATCATTATGTACAGGGAAATCTTTTTATTGCCTTTTATCCCTTTGAATGTTAAGGAACAAAATATGTCATTTTGTACAACTTGACTAATATACAAGTAAACAGAATGATATGTACAAGAAAGTAATATTTTAGTGTTCTTCATTGTATACTCTTAGGAAAAGGGCCCATGTGTTTATGCATGTTAGTGTATCAACTAGTCAAGAGTCCTGAATAGGAATATGAATGTAAAATAACTCAATTGTTTTCACTTTCTACAGGATGTGGAACAGATGTATTTCAATTACCCTAATTTCCTCTTCCATCGTACTGCATTAATACAACACCTGAAGTGCAACACTGACATCACTATTCGCACAGAGTTTTCCAATTGTTTCTCACCAGAATGGCAGATTTTCCTCAAGGAATGTTATCCATATTTTATGATAATCTCTGACATAGGACAGAACTCTCTACACGAAGATTATTTACATATATTTATCACTCATACCTTGTCAAAGAAAATCAATGTTGTGCTCACTTCAGGACAAGAGTCTGATGCTCTTAGAGTGTATGGATATTACATCCAGAGTGTGCATGAACACAGGTTATTTTTTCATCAGGTAAATTGCAATACATCATTATGGATTTTAAAATAGAAAATATTACCATTTATATGTAGAATTATATATTTAATTGGAACATCTCATTGACAATTTGAGAATCAAAGCTGGATGTTCTTCTAAGAAACAGTCTAGGAATTATATGGAGGAGGTTCTATGGCCTGTGTCATGCAGGTCAGAATAGATATCACAGTGGTCTCTTCTCACTTTGGGGTCTATGAATTAAAAGCCAGTTTTTGTACATTAAAATCATGATCCAGTAACATTTGGCTTGTCCATATGCCTTTTGTCTGTGGCTCTTAAAGACCTTTGTGTACATTAATTCATTTGGGGCAAATTCCTGAGTGCTTCTCCATATCAATATGCTAGGGAATGGGATTCAGTGGTTTATGGATCTTCTTGTACTCATTACCATGGGTGTGAGGGTAGCAGTAGGGGAGGAGAAAAAGGCACAATATTACTTTAGCTGGGCTAAGTTACTGCAAACTGATCAGGCTGAGGTGAGGCTTTGGTGTTTAATTACTGTACAGTAAATGGTCCAGTCCTTTTTTCCCCTTACATAATACTGTATGTTGTAGGTGATCTGATTGAAATCTATTGGATTGCACCCACAGTAAATTATTCTCACTGTGGGTAAGGATGGCAGAATTAGACTTTATATCGTTATCCTTATTTTACATAGGAGGTAAACTCAGATTATAAAGTGTCTAATGTACTTGCCTAAGTTTACATGTAGGTTAACCATAGGACTAGCAGTACATTACATATTTCCTGACATCCAGCCCTCATTTTATTTTAACAAACAGCTCTGGTTCTCTAATGTCTATTTACCATGAATTTGTTTTTGAAGAAAACCTGTATGATGGAGTGTATTAATTGAGTGCCAGAGAAGCAGCCACTCTGGTCTACTTGGAAGATGTCTTTTCTGCTCTTCTCCCTGAGGTATGGGCGGCAAGGCCTCCAGCAGGGGCTGTTGGGCCTAGTCCACTCAGTCACAAATGACTATATCATTATGTACAGGGAAATCTTTTTATTGCCTTTTATCCCTTTGAATGTTAAGGAACAAAATATGTCATTTTGTACAACTTGACTAATATACAAGTAAACAGAATGATATGTACAAGAAAGTAATATTTTAGTGTTCTTCATTGTATACTCTTAGGAAAAGGGCCCATGTGTTTATGCATGTTAGTGTATCAACTAGTCAAGAGTCCTGAATAGGAATATGAATGTAAAATAACTCAATTGTTTTCACTTTCTACAGGATGTGGAACAGATGTATTTCAATTACCCTAATTTCCTCTTCCATCGTACTGCATTAATACAACACCTGAAGTGCAACACTGACATCACTATTCGCACAGAGTTTTCCAATTGTTTCTCACCAGAATGGCAGATTTTCCTCAAGGAATGTTATCCATATTTTATGATAATCTCTGACATAGGACAGAACTCTCTACACGAAGATTATTTACATATATTTATCACTCATACCTTGTCAAAGAAAATCAATGTTGTGCTCACTTCAGGACAAGAGTCTGATGCTCTTAGAGTGTATGGATATTACATCCAGAGTGTGCATGAACACAGGTTATTTTTTCATCAGGTAAATTGCAATACATCATTATGGATTTTAAAATAGAAAATATTACCATTTATATGTAGAATTATATATTTAATTGGAACATCTCATTGACAATTTGAGAATCAAAGCTGGATGTTCTTCTAAGAAACAGTCTAGGAATTATATGGAGGAGGTTCTATGGCCTGTGTCATGCAGGTCAGAATAGATATCACAGTGGTCTCTTCTCACTTTGGGGTCTATGAATTAAAAGCCAGTTTTTGTACATTAAAATCATGATCCAGTAACATTTGGCTTGTCCATATGCCTTTTGTCTGTGGCTCTTAAAGACCTTTGTGTACATTAATTCATTTGGGGCAAATTCCTGAGTGCTTCTCCATATCAATATGCTAGGGAATGGGATTCAGTGGTTTATGGATCTTCTTGTACTCATTACCATGGGTGTGAGGGTAGCAGTAGGGGAGGAGAAAAAGGCACAATATTACTTTAGCTGGGCTAAGTTACTGCAAACTGATCAGGCTGAGGTGAGGCTTTGGTGTTTAATTACTGTACAGTAAATGGTCCAGTCCTTTTTTCCCCTTACATAATACTGTATGTTGTAGGTGATCTGATTGAAATCTATTGGATTGCACCCACAGTAAATTATTCTCACTGTGGGTAAGGATGGCAGAATTAGACTTTATATCGTTATCCTTATTTTACATAGGAGGTAAACTCAGATTATAAAGTGTCTAATGTACTTGCCTAAGTTTACATGTAGGTTAACCATAGGACTAGCAGTACATTACATATTTCCTGACATCCAGCCCTCATTTTATTTTAACAAACAGCTCTGGTTCTCTAATGTCTATTTACCATGAATTTGTTTTTGAAGAAAACCTGTATGATGGAGTGTATTAATTGTCATCCTTAAGTTCCTAATGTCCTGGACTTCCCAAACACTTGTTGAAATACAGCTTATTAGGTAGCCTCTGGAATTTATGAGCAGAATGTCTCTTCCTACTGTTCATTTAGGGCCTAATCCAAAATAGGATTATTTAATCCTATTACTTTAATCTAATTAACAGCCTTTCCATTTACTTCACCGGGTGTGGATCAGGCCCTGATTTTGTTTAACATACAAAGTAGCCGATAACACTCACATTTTTCCTTGTTGTGACAAAGGAATTTTCTTTCAAGTGATGCCACTAGCAAGCTAAAGTAGAATGTCCCTCTGATTTCAGTTTTGACGTGTGTGAGATTGATAAAACCGAGTAAAATTTTCAAAAGGACTTGAGACTGATAAGTCCCATTTTCAAGAGTGCCTAAGTGACACTTTAAAATGGGACTTATGCACTTATAAAAATCTGTCCTTTGACTTTAATGTACAACTGACTTGTGTACTTGTATTGACTTTGTTACTTGTATTTCCATTTAGCATGAAAAGGATCTGCAACATATTTGTGAAGCCATAGTCAAATATTTACAAAAATCCCAGGATACAGTTTACCTGTATAATTTAAAGCTGAGCTTGAGAAACTTACAAAAAGAGGTAATTTAGCTATTTTGCAGTCCCTTCCCCTCCCTCCCCCCTTACACAGCATGGTAACAATGTATGTTCATACAGCTGTCAGTTTGTGCAGTAGAAGTTAGGAATGGTCTCATGGAAGAGGCCATGGGACCCACTCCCAAACTCCATGATTTCTCTGGGATTCCAGAAGCCTTGCTGGGCACTAAACTATTCTAAGATTGCTTACAGGGCTATTTCATAAGAATAATATTTGACACATACTGTGCTTTTCTATTCAAAAAAATAGACAAATATTAATTTGTTGCTTTTAGGTTATTTTAGGGATAGCTCAGTGGTTTGAGCATTGGCCTGCTAAACCCAGGGTTGTGAGTTCAATCCTTGAGGGGGCCACTTACGGATCTAGGGCAATTCTGTCAGGGATGGTACTTGGTCCTACCATGAGGGCAGGGATCTGGACTACTGACCTCTTAAGGTTCCTTCCAGTTCTATGAGATGGGTATATCTCCATATTTAGAGTTGTCGTAAATCTTTCTTCATTATATTAAACAATTTTGAAGCCTTACAAACCCTCTGCCACCCTGAGTATTAATTCCTGTCAGAAATCAATTGGCATCATCATGAGTTGAAGGCCACCAAATCTGAAAGTCTTGAGAGTGCATTTTCATGATTAAGTAGTACATGGGCCTGCCATGCTGTTGATGTTCTTCTATTCCTATTGAAATCAATAGCAAAACTCTCATTGATTACAGTGGGAGCCAGACCAGCTCCATAAACTAATGTTCATCACTCCCCTTCCCAGCCCACTGGCATTCTTCACAGGGGGTCTGATTAAAAGTCTCTTGAAATCAATGGAAAGATTTAGTGGACATTAGATTGTAGTAGAAATGTGGGAATTTGCATATCTTCTTCCAGCCATTTTTTGAGGATGAGTGGCTTTTCGAAAAGGGGGGGGTTTACCAAAAAAAGTCACGACTACTTTGAGATCAGAAGATATGCAAATTCCTGCACAATTTGCATATCCTCTTTTGGCACTTCAGCATAGTCTAGACAAGCCCGTAGAGTGAATCTACACAGCAGTGTTATTACGGAATAATGGCTGTTATTCAGAAACAATGCGAGCTTCTACACAGCAATTCTGTTATTTTGAAATTATTTGGCTTATTCTGACTTCTGTAAACCTCATTCTATGAGGAATAACACCTATTCTGGAATAGCAGTAGTGTGGATGCTCCACTGCTGCTATTTCAAAGTAGCTCCTCCCCAGGGCCATTCAAAGTAATTACTCCCCAGTGCCTCCTGGGGTTCTAAATCAAGATAGCACATTCACATTAGGGAAGCCTGCGTTAGACAAAATAAGTTTTCATGATAGATGTACCAGGAGTACATCTATTCAAGGAGTAGAAAATGAAGTTATTTTAACTATCAAGTACATTTTACCTTTTGGGTATCTTGATGTACTGCCTTTCTTCATTGATTGAATTAAAGATAAAGATGTATGTATGCTTTATAATCTTTTCATTGTAAAATAATAATTTATTTTAACATCTTATGATTGTAGATCTGTCAGACTATTTTGCTGCTGAAGAATCTGTGGCCAGAAGAATCCAATCTTAGGCGTGTTGTTTGTGTTCTTACATGTACAGTGGGATTAAAAATGTATAGTAACATGTTAGAAAATGCAAAAGCCTTTGAGGAAACAAAGAAACAAACAAAAACATTCAGTAAGGTGAGCTTTCTTTACAGTTTCAGTGCCTGTTCATTCTCTTATCATAAATGTTTCAATAACATTGGAGAAAGTTATGCCCCGAAATCCCATGTTGAAGAGAGTTCTAGTGACTTTTCCAGCACAATGTCTTGCTTTCCCTCTATCTGCAAAGAGCTGCATGGAAAGGGAGCATGGATTGGCAGAAGAATGTGTCAAGGATGTGTCCTTCATACTACTGCCAGCCCTTGTGACCAGGAAAAATTAATGTGGCTTGGGGCTGTAATTGATTTACTAACTTCCATTGTCATTTTCAATGGTCACATTACTTCCTTCGTGAAAAGAGATTTGTAATGAAATGGAAATGTTAATTGATTCTCTAGTGTCTAATACTACAATAAAAGGCATGTGATGAACTAAGTGTATCCAGAAGTGATAGTAACATACAGAATTGTATAACTGAAGTTTTTAGCTGCACTAACAAAATGAATAATCACTGAATTATGTTAATAATAATGTTCAGCACTAATATCTATTACTGAGGTACTTATGTTGCAATAGGAGAAGATTGAAGCATTAACACTGGAGGAAGCAGCGGACCTGTGTAGAATGCAGTGCCTCAGTGTGGTTTTTCTCCTCAACTTGCCTCTTTCACAACGAGCTCAGATTAGGATAATCAATTCTGGGTGGACTGAGCAAGTTTTACCATTTATAAACATGGTAGGTGTCCCTTGCCTTCTGTCATCATGTGCAGCAAATACCTTAATTTTCCTTTTTTTGGTAGGGTACTCTAGAACCTGGCCAAACCACACAAATTAATTGTACGTAGTACAGTGGCAACTTAGAAGGACTTCACATCTTTAAAAATCAAGTGGCATTTGAACAGTGAAGCAGAGTGGTCCTGTTGGTACAGGAAAACAAGACACGGATTTATATTCCAAGCTCTGCCACTGACTTGCTGTGTGACCTTGGACAAGTCATTTCATCTTTCTCTGCTTCGCTTTACCTGTCTGTACAAATGGGGTAGTCATGCTTTCCTTTGTAAAATGTTTTGAGCTCTACAGATAAGAGTTATGTAAGAATTAACTGCATTTTTTAACAGCTACAACATAGTGACTATCTTGTTCTGAAGCAACTAAATGATGAAAATGACTGGAAATTGGATTTAACTCACCTGTCTGATTTAAGGGACAATTTATTGCTGAAGAACCTTTCATATTACTATGAAACAGAATACTGCTCAGGTATTTATCTTTGCTCTTGAACATTTTTTTAATCTAATTTTATTAAGTTTATAAATAAAAAGCAAAAATAATGTACAACAAATTGTATTAGCTAATGAGAGGTGTCTGTCTGAGGTGGGCAAGATACCTCTCATGGGCCGGATCCAGTCAACCTAGCCACTAGATTTGGCCTGTGGACCACCCTGCAGGGACCCTCAGGCGTGCAGCTGCCACTGTTTAAACTGCAGTCTGTGTGGCTCTGGAGGGAGGAGAAGGCTTCCTGTCCCCCGCCCAGTCCTCAGCTCCTATCGGCTGGAACAGGCTTTTGTCAACAGAGGCTTTGTCGACAGATGCTGTCGACAAAGCTTCTGTCGACAGAGCGTCTACACTACATTCAGTTCTGTCGACAAAGCAAGCTGCTTTGTCGACATGGTAGTGTAGACGCAAAGGACAGTTTACATGCAATAACACCTTCTGTCGACAGAAACTCTGTTGACAGAAGGCGTTATGCCTCGTAAAATGAGGTTTACCAGCGTCGACAAAACTGCTGAGTTCTGTCGACGTTATGTCAACAGAACTCAGCGGTAGTGTAGACGCAGGTATAGTTTTGTCAACAAAAGTCCACTTTTGTCGACAAAACTCTGTAGTCTAGACACACCCGGAGAGATTGGCCTGGGGGATGGGAGCTACACATGCCTCTTCCCCCTCCCAGAGCTGAGAGCCACATGGAGGTAACAGCCTGCAGTTTAAAGTGATCTGGGGCTGCAGCAGGCTGGGAGCCCAGCCTGCCTTGGCAGTGCTACAGGGCTGCTGGCTAGGAGACACTTAGATAAGCACCTCCCAACCAAAGCCTGTCTCTGGCACTAAGTCCCTCCCCAGGTCACAATCCAAACCCTCCGCACCCTCCTGCCTCAGGTCACAACTCCTTCCCCGACCCTATACCCCCTTCTTCACCTCTATAGGCCAGAATCCTTTCTTGCACCCATAGCCCCTTCCTGAATCTACACCCCAATCCAGGTCACATCCCCCCTCCTTCACCCAAACTCCCTCTCAGACCTCACACCATCTCCTGCACTCCAGTGCCTTACCCTTTGCGCCCCTCTGCACCCAACCTCCATCCTAGAGATCGCATCTCCTCCACATGTCAGTGCAGCCCTTGATCACTTTCCAACATATTGGAGTAGCCCCCCCCCACACCAAAAATTATTGCCCAGTGCTGGTGTGTATGCACACATATACATATATGTAAAGTTACTTTATGGAATAATAGAGAAAGCATTTTCAGAACTGAGTCTAGAGAATTAGATGCAAAATTTCCTGTGATTTAATAGAATCTACTCAGACCCACTTTCATTTAGCTATGCATATGCAAAAGCAAAGGAAGGTAGATGGCATAGTTTAGACCAGTGGTGCACAGCCTTTTTTAAACCGCGACCCCCACGGGTGGGCCCGGCCATTGGCAGCCGCACAGCAACCCCCCAGGAAGACATCTGCAACTCCCTTGGGGGTCGCGACCCATGGGTTGCACACCACTGGTTTAGACTATAAGGATTATGTGCTACTTGGGGGTAGTGTTATGTTCATAGAATCATAGGACTGGAAGGGATCTTGAGAAGTCATTTTGTCCAGTCCCTGCAGTCACAACAGGACTAAGTATTATCTAGTCCATCCTTGATAGATATTTGTCTAACCTGCTCTTAAAAGTCTCCAATTATGGAGACACCACCGTTTACCTAAGAAATTTATTCCAGCGCTTAATCACCCTGATAGGATTTTTTCCTAATCTCCAATCCACTGCTACAATTTAAGCTCTTGTCTTCGCCTCCAGTTTCTCCCTCCTAGTTGTAACATGTTATATACTTGAAAACTGTTATGTCCCCTCTCAGTCTTTTGTTTTCCAAACTAAAGAATCTCAGTTTTTTAAATTTTCCCTCATAAGATTAATTTTTGTTGTGCTTCTCTGGACTTTCTCCAGTATCCACATCTTTCCTGAAATGTGGTACCCAGAACTAGACAAAATATTCCAGTTGAGGCCTAATCAGTGCAGAACAGAGGAATTGTTTTTCATGTGTTACTTATCACACTCTTGCTAATATATCTCAGAATGATGTTTGCTAATTTGTGACCGCATTACTCTGTTAACTCATTTAGCTTATGATGCACTATGACCCGCATACTGTTTCTTAGGCAGTCATTTCCCATTTTGTATGTGTGCAACTGATCCATCTTCCTAAGTGAAGTATTTTGCATTTGTCCTTTTTGAATTTCATCCTATTTTATTTCAGACCATTTTTCCAGTTTGTGCACAGTATTTTGGATTTTAATCCTATCAAATGCTCTTGCATTTGCATACCTTCTGTTTTTTCCAGAAGAGGATTCCCATCTACACAGGGCCAAATGTTGGGGAAAAAACCCTCTTTCAAAAGCCCTTGTAAACCTTGTTTTATGAGGAATAAAGGGGCTTTCAAAAGAGGGTTTTTTCTGGCATTTGACCCCAGGTATACGGGAAAAATATCAGAAAATCCTCTTCCTGGGGGGGGGGGGGTATGCAAATGTGAGTACAATTTGCATATCTCCTTCAAAAAAAATGCAGTGTAGCTGTACCCCAGATTGATATTGTCCACAAATTTCATAAGTGAACTATCACTCTATGCCAGAAGTGGGCAAAAAAATTGTGGCAGTTCACCAAGGTAAGCCCCTAGTGAGCTGCTGCCACTACATTTACCTGCACCTCTGCAAGTATGGGTGATTGCAGCTCCCTTCGGCCAGGAACAGCAATCTGTGGCCAAGAGGAGCTGTGATCCCCGTGCCTATGGAGATATAGGTAAATATGGTGGTGCTGGGGCTCACCAGAGGCTAACCCTGGCAGACCTGATCTGGTTCACGGGCTGGTATTTGCCCACCCCTGAATTATGCCAAAATTTTTGATGAAGATACTGAAGAGAACTGAACCCAGAACTGATTCTTACAGGACTCCAGTATATATGTCCTTCCACCTGTGAACCACTAATAACTATTCTTTGGGAATTATTTCCAATCAGTTATGCACTCACTTTACAATAGCTCCTTCTACGTTGTATTTCCCTAGTTGAGATGGTCATGGGATACAGTATCAGTCCTTACTAAAAAGTCAATATATCCTACATATAAAGCTTCCCCCACCTATGAGGCTTTTTACCCTGTTAAAGAAAGCTACAGGTTGGTTTGAGATAATTGCTTGTCAAAAAATACATTCTGATAGTTATTCATCTCCTTTTTATCTTCTATGTGTTTGCAAATTGATTGCTTAATTATTTGCTCCACTATCTTTCTGTATACTGAAGTTAAACTGACTGGTTTGTAATTCCCCAAGTTATCCTTATTTTCCTTTTTATAGATGCCACTATATTTGCCCTTTTTTGGTAGACTGGAATCTCTCCTTGCTTCCATGACTTTTCAAACATAACCACTAATGGCGCAGATCTCCTGAGTCAGCTCCTTGAATATTCTGGGATGTATTTCATCAAGTCCTTGTGACTTGAAGACATCTAACTTGACTAAGTAATTTTTAAATAGTTCTTTTCCTATTTTAGCCTCAGATCCTACCTCATGGTGAATTCTAGTAAAAATGTTAGACATCTAATCACTACTAACTTTTTTTGTTTCAGTTTTCACCAACAAGTCGTTTAGCATGTCTGCCATTTTCCCACTTTGTGTTATGTTTTTCCCCCTGTGCGTAACTGACTTATCCTGGTCTTGGTCTTTCTCATGCGTCTAATGTATTTGTAGAATGTTTTCTTGTTAGCCTTTAGGATTTTAGCTAGTTTGATCTTGTTTTGTGTCTGCCTTGCTAATTGTGTCCCTACACACTTGTTATTTGTTTATATTCATCCCTTGTAATTTGGGCTAGTTTTCACTTTATGTCGTACTTGTTTTGGGTTTCAGATCACTGAACATCTTCTGGTTAAGCCAGGATGGTCTTTTGCTATACTTTCTATCTTTTCTGCACAGTGGAATACTGTAAACTTCCGATAATCCGGCTCCTTTAGGACTCAGGAGGTGCCAGATTATCAGATATGCCGGACTATTGGAGGGGGGGGGGCTATAAGGGGTCTAGGGTGGTGTGGGGGGATGCCACCCCAGACACCTCTTAGCCCCCCCTTCCGATAGACCAGCTCTGCCCCAGGCGCCCCCCAATTCAGCCGCTGCTGGTCAGTTTCAGTAGCAGCTCAATTGGGACACCTGTGGCAGAGCTGCTGGGGTGCTGCTGGGTTGGTCCGGTAGCGCCGCCCCTTGGTGCTGCAAGATCAACCCAGCAGCACCCCAGTTGCTCTTGGGGACACCTGGGGCAGAGCAGCTGGGGTGCTGCCGGGTTGCGGACCAACCCAGCATCACCACCCCAGGCATCCCCAAGTCAGCCG